TTTTTGATTTATTGTATAGATGAGGTCTCGCTGCCCAGGCAGGTCTTGAACCCGCGGGCTCAGGCAATCCACTCACCTCAACCTCCCAAAGGCGCAGGATTACAGGCTGAGCCACCGAGCCTGGCTAGAGTTTCAGTTTTACAAGATGAAAAGGGTTGTGGAGATGGGATATGGTGATGGTTGCACAACAATGTGAATGTACATAATGCCATTGTACTGTACACTTAAAATGGTTAACATGGTAAATTTTATATTATGTATATTTTGCAATAAAAGACAGGAAAGGAATTGAGATGGATCAAATCAAAGTGTGCTTCAATACACAATTTTCACACCAAAAAACCCCTAAGAAGTCAAAATAAGTAAAACATATTACTTAATAAGAAAGAAGGAAAGGAGAGGGAGAAAAGAGTTAAAGAAAAAAGACGTTTGGACTGCACTTGGTGAGCTGGATGAAAGCATCACAATCTGGAAAAAATTATCATCTTGTGGTTTCCCCCCACTCCTACTCCTTTGAAAATGTAAACATTATTTTTAGAATTCTATTGAAACTGTGGGGAGACAGCGGGGCCAGTGAGTCCCCAAAGCAGAAGCCGCTGGTATAATCGGTCCTTCCCACCCCAGGACCGGGCCAAAGCCCAGGCCGTGAACAAGAAGCTACGGAAGCAGCTGGCTGAGTTCCATGTGCCACCAGTGATGATGTACATCCAGGAGAAGATCGTAAATGGGGACCTGGAGAAGAGCATCAAGATGTGGGAAAGGAAAGTGGAGATAGCAGAGGTAAGGCAGAGAATCCCAAGAGGTATGGTCTTTTATGCCTCAATGTTTTTGTCGAGGGTCTTGTTTATTGGGCTAAGAATACAGATGTTTGGACATGTAATGTCGGTGACAAACCTCAACAATTACTCAACTATTAAACCAAAATGAAGGATGATTTTTTTTAAATTTCTTTTTCATTGTCAGGCACAGGGTCTTTTCAGTTTCAGGAACAGACTTTGTAGTAATAGTGGGTTTTTAGTTTCTTGTTTTTGTAATGAATTCTAGAAGCTTCTGAATCCCTCTACACTATTGGTAATTTAGTGTTTGCTACTTTATACATGGAGAAGCCAGTTTTTTATTTGTTTGTTTGTTTGTTTGTTTGTTTAAGAAATGAGATAATGGGCTGGACTTGGTGACTCAGCCTGTAATCCCAGAACTTTGGGAGGCCGAGGCGAGTGAATAGTCTGAGCCCATGGGTTCGAGACAAGTCTGGGCAACTTGGAGAGCCCTTGTCTCTACAACAAATCAAAACTTAGCCAGGTGTGGTAGCGCGCGCCTGTAGTTCCGGCTACTTGGAAGGCTGAGGCTGAAGGATCACCGGAGCCCTGTGGATCAATGCTGGGGTGGCCATGAGTATGCCCCTGCACTCCAGCCTGGGTGACAGAGAAAGATTTCAACTAAAAAAAAAAAAATGAAATGAGATAATGGATTTTTTTTTTTTGAAATGGGTTCTAACTGTCACCCAGGCTGGAGTGCAGTGGCACAATCACAGCTCACAGCAGCCCTGACTGCCTGGGCTCAAGTGATCCTTCCGCCTCAGTTGAGTAGCTGGGACTTACAGGCATGTGCCACCATGCCCGGCTAATTTTTTTTTTTTTGGTAGACATGAGGTCTTGCTATGTTGCCCAGCCTGGTCTTGAACAATAATGGATTTTTAATGTCACTCAGAACCTGATTCCATGCATGTACATACTTGCCATGGGTCTTTTTGTTTGTAACTAGTACCGCAGCCTTTGAATACAGAAGAGTGTGACAGGAAGCACCCTTGTCCCTCGCAATGTGAAAATAATATGCTGATGTCAGAAAAAAAAAAAAAAAAGGCGAACACCCACACTGTCGTGGCTAGGCTGCAACTAAGTCATTGAAGGTGTCATTAGAGTAGCTTAGAAACCAGCAGATCACTGGGAAACTGGGACTTTGGCATTTTCACTTCTGGACCCCAGCTCCATCCTCCATGTTACTTTTTCCTGCATCTCTTGTGGCCACATAGTAGTGGGAAGTAAATTAGGAGCCAAACTTGGGCCCCTCAGATCTGCAGCTGGGAAGTATCAGAATCTGGCAGAAACATGCAAGTTCTCACTTCACTGAACAGAAAGATACTCTTTAGAAGAATCTTCTGGGTGGGTGCTGCCCCTTGGTGGCTCCTGCACAGCAGTATGCCCAGAAGGAGACACTGTCCCACATGGGGCCATCTGCGCCTTCAGTGGACTAGATGAGGGTTGCATTCTGAATCATCACAGTTTTTCCCAAGTGACCTTCTCCTTCTTGCCTTCTCCACCGCCCTCCCCCCCCAATTTTTTTCCCTTTTTGCAGATGTCTTTAAAAGGCTACCGCAAGGCTTGGAATAAAATGAAAACAACCAATGAGCAGTTGCAGGCAATTTATCTCCCGGGAAATAGCCAGAAGCAGGCCACGACTTGCAGATCAAGATTTGATCCATTAAAGTAATCAGCTCCTTTCTGGTCCCGGGGCCTCTCACTGTTTCCTGTGCTGGCTGGTGTCCCCAACTCCCCAACCAGGTTGAGCGTCACCTCCTGAGCCACATCTGCCTGTGAGGAGTGTCTTCACAGTCTGGACCCTGGAACGATTAACACTGAAAGAACCACAGGGCACTCTAATGGTTTGACACTTGTTAGCCCACATTTAGTTCACAAGCACAAACGAAAGTGACCTTCCCGCATGTGGAAGTGGGACAGAGGAAGGAGAGACAGTCCAGTGTGTGCCACAGGCCTGTCCGTGGCAGCCCAGGTGTGCAACTATCAAAAACAGACACCAAAACAGCATGGCAAATGCCTGGCACTCAGCATTCTGAGCTTACTCTTCAGTGTGGTGGGTTAGCTCCTAGACTAGACACTGTTGCAAAAGAAAAGCACAAAGGAAACCAAGATAATTTCTTGGGGCTGATGCACCCTGTTCTGACCTGCAAAAGGCCCGCCCTCCCCAACCTCCCCACCATAATAGTCATAGTATAAGGGTTGTATGGATGGCTCAGAAGACCTGCCCAATTCCCTTACACCCTTGTCCCTAACTTCTAGACCATCTCTAGCTAGCTGTGAATGCCTGGTGTTTGCTAGCTGTGAATGCCTGGTGGCCCTTCTTTGTCCTTGGAAGTATGGTTGGGTCCGTCCAACGTGGTCCAGTCCAAGATGTGTCTCCTGTGTTGTGGCATCATATGACCCATCATGGGAGAAAGAAAGAAATTTCTCCCAGTAGTGGAGTGAAGACAGGGTAAGGCCAGCCCTCTCAGCCTTGGACGTGATCCAGTTGCTGTAGTCTTCCACTCTGGTGTACAGAAATAGGCCAGGGCACATCCCACCACCATAGTTCAGGATTCCTCTCAGAACCCACATATTCAATTTCCGTAGTTGGCACATCATCGGACTTCCTGGATCCCCCTGTGACAAAGGACAGAAGGCTTCAGGTCTTAGAGGAACTTTAAAAAAAAAAATTCTATTCTTATGCAATTTACTGTTTGTCCTAGAAACGTTTTATACTGCTTCTCACTGCAAATGGAGCAAATTATAGGATACTATTTCAAATCTAGGTAGCCACCACCACAAATTCCAACAAGATGACTTTTCCTCTTATTATGCAAATTATTTGTGGACTTCTACAGATTGCTTATAGCTTCCTGGTTCATATTTCATTTTCTTGCCCCTTTCCAGTCCTTTGACTAAATCCTCCCGCTCTCAGCTTCTCATTCCTGAAATTCTGAAGTGTTGATATTTCTTTCCTTTCTGGCCCGAGATGCTCACATGCTCCCTTCTCCTCTCTACCTGGCTTCCATCCTTAGTTTAAGCTGCTTCCTCCCACCTGGCCGCTGTCTGCTATTCCCCTTGCACACCAGCCCAGGTGGTCATGCTCTTGGACTTCCCTGCTCCTAAGGGAGCAGTCCTTTGGGCCTCTGGAATTCTGCCACACATACCCTACCTCACTTAAGATGAGTGGGCAGAAGCCTGGCACACACAGCTAGATATGTGACCACATTCTCTCATCCAAAGTGGGAACACAGTTAATGCCTTTAGTACATGCAGAGCACATAGCACAATGCCTGGCACACAGTATGTCGTCAGCAGAATATTACCTACTACTATCTTGATGTTTATAAAAGGCCATCATTTTTCTGTGAAAAGTTGATAAAAATGGGAAAAGCATCCAGACAGCTACTAGGTGTGGTTTACCTCATCTGACCTGACCCCTTCTCCCAAGGTCTCCTCTCAAGGAAAACCTCCCCCGCACTCCCCTCCCCATTATGCCAACATGGTCTGTCTTGGTCCTAGAAAGGGGTTGTTATCCAAAGGCTCGTCAGCCATCTTTGCCCCGTGTGGCCAGCCTGGCTAGAGGGCTGGGCAATGACACGTTGCTCTTGCAGTTTGGACTGAGACACAGAGTGGGGCTGAAATTGACAACAGAAAACAAATCAGAACAGACTGAACCACGAGAAGCAGAAAGGCAAAAGAGCGGCCACCTCAGCCCTTTCCATCCCGAGGCCTGTGTGTGTGGTCTGTCTTGGGTATCCTCTTTCAATTAACCTCCTTTTTTCTGAGGAAACCACTCCAAAACGGAGACGAAGGCAGATGGGAGAAGAAAGGAGCAGCTCTGCAAACAGGCCAGCAGGAGGCTGCTCTGCAAAACTGCCATCATTCCCTGGTGGTTCCTGGTGGCCAAGACCAGACACATGAGGAAGGCATCGTGGACTTCATTCTGTGCCTCCCCTTGAACGGATGAGTGTAGGACTCTTGACTTTTCAGTTTTTCACAATCTACTGTTTCACCCCTTGCTGCCAGACAGCAGCAGGTATAGGTTTTGGCCAATTATCCTAGAACTGGAGGGCCCTAGGCCCTCATGTGCACCTCACTGAGTCTACCTAGGGTATGGGGGTTCCTGGCCAAGGATGATGTGATCTCCTCCCCTCTTTCATCAGTACCATTTCTAGTTTGTCTTAACTGTGGTTTTATAGCTCAAAGAGGAAAAACAATGCAATTTAGGACAAACAATTCGATGAACAACTGGAGGCAGACGCCCCTGGCAATTGCATGGTTCTACAGGGTGCTATTCTACCTGGGTGCAGTATATGCTCTTCCCCATAACTGCGACTTCTGAAGCCCAAGTAGCGCGTGCCCCTCTGGAGCTGTCCTACCTCATCTCCTAAGGGAAAGGCCACAGCACAGAGGAATTATTTTATTGTGTGATCCTCTCCCTTAACATTCAGCAAAAACCTAACAGTTGTTGAAAAAGGAGGAGGGTTAGTTCAGAGTGATTCTGTTTTTGCTGGGTTTCTAGGGAAACCCAATAGGCAGATTCTGAACCTGGTGGTTTATTCTACAAGTGAGAAGTATGGCTTCAAGGACCCCTGGACGTATGAACACATTTTGTTTACAGGTGTGCCACAGTTAAAAACCTACCTGAACTTCGCAGGTAGATTTTAAAAGGTGATCACTTCAAATATAAACAGCTTATCCATACTCCATTGAGCATAAGATACACTTAAAAATTAACATCTTTGAAATTAGAAGGGTCTTTTAACCAGTTGATATTAGAGTTTAACTGGCAGCACTTTCTCTTTCTTAGTATTACATAAAATAATGGTACAGTCTACAAATGGTGGCATCTTAGATTGATGAAGTATGAGACTGGATAATGGAATGAATAAAGGTAGTATTTCGTTAAATAGCAATGGCTTATACCATATTTTACACATTACCTATTTAAGAAGTTGTTAAGATCCTCCTCCTGGCAGAGGACCCAGTACAAAATAAGCACTCGGTAAGTGTGGAACCAACTTTGGAAAGCAAATGTATTGCTTAATGAGAGGCAGTCCTTCATGCTTCAGCAATAAAATGACTTTTAGAAAGAATTGTCTGTATGTATTTTTTTTTAACTTTAACAAACTTGCACTTCTAGATCCTCTGGGAAAAAAAGTTCCCCATCAGTGAGTCCTGAAGGTTATTTAGAGGAGAGTAGGTGATCAGCATCTTGGAAAGACAATTTTAGAGGAGAGGAGAGAAGCTCTATCTGGATCTCTGGTAGACCTAGGTTTTTGTCTTTGCTTTAATATCACTGACTGTGGGATGCTTGGAAGCTACACCTTCTCCAGGTTTGGACATGAGGGACTTGGAGTTTGTGACTTTTACACATTTTCCTGAGATAGTAGAACAGCCATTCTGTATAGGCTTCATTTGGGTGGAGGGTGGAGCTTCTTAGAGAAGAAAAACCCAATAACTGATAGCATCAGAAGGGAGTCTAAGTTCCGTAGAAGCTGAATACTGTGACCCTCCACTGTAGACCTGCTCAAAGTATATATGCATGGATGGTTTGGACTCATACTTGCAGATTTTTAGCTAGTTAAAAGACATCTGTGACTTAGACATGCTTAATCATGTTACACTGAAAATGGTGTCTGGTTTGTTCATTCAGCAGAGTTTTATTGAGCACTAGCTATCTGCCAAGTGCTATTCATGCCAGAGACAGCCATGAATTCCATCATGGTCCCTGCTCTCATGGAGTTCCCCTTGATGTGATCAGTGCTTACTCTTAACATTTAGCTTCTACTTCATGATGTTCTTACCAAGCAGACAGACTTTGTTTTCTTTTGTGTGTGACTGCCACATCCTGTTTTCTGGAGTTTGTGTGAGGGACACAGATCAATGTCTTTCACGGAGATTTTCCTCAGGATGCCAGTGGTCATATGATTTCCTGTCTGGACCATGCAACAGAGAGCCCAAGAATTATTAACAAGAAGGCGGTCTCCTAAGCAAACACAACTGCAACTCACATATTCAAATGGGAGTGAGTGGGAAATGTTCATAAATTCGTTTTCGTCATATAAATCAGAACCTGCGTCTGAGTTTTTACTGAAAACTACCTTTGCTTGAATGTGTAAACAGACAGCAAGCACCCCTTCTCTACACTGAGAGAGTATGCATTTCCTTGTTTCTTTTCCCAAAATGAAAGAAAACAAGGATGACTTAGACAAGAGGACAATCGACTCTAGTTCAGAGAACAATATCCCCTCACCCCTCAATAACCTTGCATTCATTCCAGGCTGTCCACTCTCTGTGTATTTTCAGTTTGGGTGCACAGCTAGAAGAAATTGGACCAATGAAATGAAATGTGAGAATGGTCAAGGAAAGGGCAAGCACTGGGAATCCTGACTGATTACATTAGGGTTTTAGCCCAACTCTAAACCTCAAGTAAGCTCAGTTATTAAATTAAGGTAAACCCTAGAATGGTTCATCCAAGTCTCCCCCACTTTTAGCACACACATAGCCTCCTCTAGGAGAAGGAATGCATTAACTGCAGCTGTGGGATTCCATCCTGACACCCAGCAGTTCCATAAGACTGGTGGCACGTGCAGCTTTTTGTCAAGGAAGCAGATGGACTGGACCAGGCTGCTGAAGTGCATCGCTGTATCTGTCTTCAGGAGGGCTATGTTGTTGTTCATTGAATTGTTATCAAAATCCTCATGGATGATGATGGTATTGATCGGATACTCTGTGTGAGCAATCCCTCTGGGATCCATGTTATCTATACCAACTATAGCGACAACATCCTTCCTGGAGAGAGAGCAAGAGAATGTTGAGAAAGCAAGGCAGTAAGGCAGCTTTACACTTCTCCGTTCTCATACTTACTGCTTTTTCAGCCTGGAATGCCCATCCTATGCATCTTCTCTCTTAATTTTCACTCGTCCCACTAGGCCCAATCTCTAGGAAATCTTTTCTGAGCCCCTGGGCTTGTGCCTTCCTTTGTGATTCTGTAGAATCTTGGGGATTCTTCTATCTTAATACTATTTGTCCCACCACCCAGAGATAATCTGTTAACATGTTATTGTTGATTAACATTTTTCTATGCATAGTTTTTTTTAAACATATTTGTAGTTTACCAAAGTAATGCCTATATTTATACAAAAGATGTAATCTTGACTCCTGCTTTTAGCACTTAACATTTTAAAACAAGCACCATTCCCTACCAGATGCTCTATAAATACACTTTGGAGAATTCCAGTTTTTATTATGATAGAACTATGCTGAGTGTTTTCTCTTTCTTCTCTTGGGAATCACCCAAGCAACTACAAGAATGAGACACAAATGCAAACACCATAAAATCAAGAGACACTAGAGAATTCTGAGACAATCTGATGAAGGCAATGAAGGATAGCAGGAGTGCAAAGAGTAACAGATGACACCAACTACCACAGAGCTCAGAAAAAGCTGGTCAACCATGGCTCTCAGCAAAGAAGTGAAAAGAAAGGAAATAAAACCATCACCAAAATGAAGGCCAAACTGGAAGTCGCATAAAGGAGAATAAAGACCCCAGAAAACTCAATTAGAGACATTGAGAAAGTAACCAAAGTGAAATGGAAATTAACAAAGATTTTTTTAAAGGGAGGCAAGGAAAACAAAAGCTATGGCAGTCAGAAGAGAGCCAGCAGACCATAGAGAAAGTAATAAAAATAACAAAACAGGAAAAATATTTCATGATATAATTTAAGAAAGTTTTCCAGAATAAGAGTTGAATCTACAGTTTGGAGATACAGAATAGTCAACAATGAGACAGACCCTGGTCAAGTCCCAACAGGAAACAGATGGCACTCAAATAAGGCAATGTGGGAGAGTTTAATAAAGGGACTCTTTACAAAAAGTTTTGGCAGGATGTAGGGAAACCATCAGGAACAGTGCCATATGCTCTAGGCAAGAGGACAGAGTGGTCAGACAGAGCTGTGCAGAGGGGCCACTTAGCTGGTAAAAACAGCTTATCTGCAATATTCCTCAGGAGAATAAGGACACTGATCATACTCTTCCCACTTCCTGTTACCTCTTGCCTCTTATCTTTGCCCCTTGACCAAAACCCATCTGAACTCCAGGAGGCAAGCGAGCATTGGCATAACCTATACAGGCAAGTTTTCTGGGGCCTAGCAGCATAGAAGAGAGGCAAATGTGAGAGAGGCAAAGAGGCAAATGTGAGAGAGCTAACATAGCTAGTCAAGTAGCTGGGCTTGAGTGACAAAGAAAGAATCCTTGGGCATCCAGACCAATGGATTAAGTTTGGCCTTATTGCCTAACCCAGGGAACTTGTGAGCATGCAGAGAGGTGCTAAGATGCTGGGATAATAGTTGTAAACCAGGCCTTTCCCAGGTATACGAGGATGTGTGGTCACACTCCTATAGGGAGAAAATCAGAATGGCCTCAGACTTCTCCACAGCAAGCTTTAATACAAGAAGCCAGAGTGGGATTGGGAGGAGGCGATTCCTTAAAAGTTCTCAAAAGATCTCTTGATTATTTCTTTTGCTGTGCAGAAGCTTTTTTGTTTAATTAAGTCCCACTTGTCTATTTTTCTTTTAGTTTCATTTGCTTTTGGGGTTTTAGTCATAAATTCTTTGCCTAGGCCCATGTCCATAAGAGATTTTTTTAGGTTTTATTCTAGGACCTTTATGATTTCAGGTCTGACATTTAAGTCTTTAATCTATCTTGAGTTAATTTTTGTATATAGGGAGAGAGAGGGATCAAGTTTCATTTTTCTGCTTGTAGCTATCCAATTTTCCCAGCACTATTTGTTGAATAGGGTATTCTTTCCCAAACCTACAGAATGGAAGAAAATATTGTCAAACTATACATCTGACAAAGATCTAATATCTAAAATCTACAAAGATTCAAACAAATCAGCAAGAAAAAAGCAAATAGCCTCATTAAAAATTGGGCAAATGACATAAATAGACATCTCTCAAAAGAAGATATACAAATGACTAACAAATATATCAAAAAATGTTCAACATCACTCAGTCAGGGAAATGCAAATTAAAACCACAACGAGATACCACCCCCTTACACCAGTCAGAATGATTTTTTTTTTTTTTTTTTTTTGAGTAGGAGTCTGACTCTGTTACCCAGGTTGGAGTGCAGTGGCATGCTCATGGTCACCACAGCCCTAACCTGCTGAGCTCAGGCAATCCTTCCATCTCAGCCTTCCAAGTAGCTGGAACCACAGGCATGCACCACCATGCCTGGCTAATTTTTGATTAATTGTAGAGATGAGTTCTCACCAAGTTGCCCAGGCCAGTCTCGAACCCTCGGACTCAGGCAATTCTCTCACCTCCACCTCCCAAAGTGCTGGGATTACAGGTGTGAGCCACTGTGCCTGGTTTTTATTAAAAACAAACAAACAAACAACAGTTGCTGGTATGGATGTGGAGAAAAGGGAACATTTAAACACTGTTGGTGGGAGTGTCAATTAGTACATCCTCTATGGAAAGTGATATGGAGATTACTGAAAAACCTAAAAGTAAATCTACCATTTGATCCAGCAATCCCACTACTAGGTACCTACCCTAAGGAACAGAGGTCGTTATATTAAAAAAAAATAAAAACAACAACACCTGAACCCACATGCTTATTACAGCACAATTCATAATTGCAAAGATGTGGAATCAACTGATCAGTGGATAATAAAAATGTATATGCGATCTAACAATTAAATTTACAAACTCATCCTAGAAAAAGTGCTACATTCCTCATTGGTGACTATCACTATGGTCACCACTAAAGCAATTTTGAAACTCGTTTTCTGGAATGGCCATCAGAGTTGTGAGAATTTCAGAGTTTTAATTCAATTTAAATTTAATTAAAACATTAAATTTCTTGTTAAACTTGGCAAGACTGGAAGCGAAATCAGGGACAAGTTAGTCCAAGTTTATGAGGATAATGCCATGAAGAAAATGGCAATGTACAAATGGATTAAATATTTTTCTGAGAGGAGAGAGTCACTGATGAAGAGAGGTCAGGATGGCCAGTAACAAACAGCACTGACAAAACATTGCAAACATGTGTTGCATTGGGCATCAAAATTGTCAGCTGATTGTGAGAAGCATAGCAGACCAAACAAGCATCAGTACAGAAACAGTTAGGAACATCTTAACTGAAAATCTTGGCATGAGAAATATGTGTGCAAAAAATGGTCCTGAAGGAGCTCTTGCATTGTGACAATGCACCCCACCTCATACAGCACTGTCTGTGAGGGAGCTTTTAGCCAGTAAACAAATAACTGTATTGGAACTCCCTCTCTACTCACCTGATATGGCCCCTGATGGCTTTTTTCTTAACCAAAAGATAAAGGAAATATTGAAAGGAAAACATTTTTATGACATTCAGGATATCAAGGGTAATACGATGACAGCTTTGATAGCCATTCCAGAAAAAGAGTTCCAAAATTGCATTGATGGGTGAACCAGGAGCTGGTGTCAGTGTATAGCTTCCCAAAGGGAATACTTCAAAGGTGACTGTAATGACATTCAGCAGTGGGGTATGTAGTACTTTTTCTAGGATGAGTTCATGATCTTAATTGTCAGACTCTGTATATACACCATGGAATACTATGTAGCCGTAAAAAGGAATGAAATTGTGTCCCTTGCAGCAACATGAATGGAACTGGAGATCATCATCCCAAATAAACTGACTCAGAAACAGAAAACCAAACGCTGCATGTTCTCACTCATGTATGGGAGCTAAACGATCACAAAATGGAAATAATAGACACTGGAAACACCAATAAGCAGGGAGGGGAGAGGGGAGCTGGGTTCAGAAGCACAGTGTTAATTATCTGGGGAATGGGCCACCTGAACCCAATCCCCACCCCTATACCATATGACCATGTAACAAATACGCATGTGTACCCCCTGGATCTAATTTTTTTTAAGTTCTCAAAAGGAAAGAAGGTGTGAGTCATGAATTCTGTTATTCAGAATGCATTTGGTCATTAAGTGGTCATTCAGGTTTAAGGACAGCACAGTTTTTGTGAATATACAAAGATCAAAGGAATACTGTATGGTTCTTGAGAGCCCTTTAAGAAATGATTTAAAGACAAATTTTAGCCAAACCTATGGTTAAATGAAGAAAACCAATAAAAAGATTGTCAGGAAGTATGGAATTATATTTTGGGACTAAAATTAAAGCAAAAGAAGAAATTTAAAAGTTATACATTGAAGTTAAAAAAAGTAAAGCTTGGCAGTAATAAAATACTATAAGGAAAGTGAAAAATAAAGTTGAAGGTAGGAGTCTAAACATAAACATATAATTATCTACAGTTAATATATGAAGTTATAAGTGTGTACAAATGTGTGACTGAATTGAGGTAAACACTAAAACACATATATTGTCTACTAAAATTGGGCAAGAGAAGAGATAAGGGGAAAGTGAATAGTAGGAATGGTAGCACTGGCCATAGTAGAATCTAGAGAGGATAGTCTGGAAAGAAGCAGAGGACATGAAAGCACAACTCTTAGATGAAATACCAAAATGAAAATACAGACTTTCCAAGTGTGTCAGAAGCGACATATAAATCAAAAGAAATATAACACAGTGAAAAGGAAAACAAGAAGCAATAAAAACAGAAAACAACCTAAAATAAAAACAAGAAGCAGGAATCATATTCTGAACGTCAATTCAGAGTAGAAGTAAAACAAAGAAAAGTTCTTAATGATAAAGAATTCAGTCTACAGTGAAGACCTCGCATTTATAAATCTCTGTAGCAAGTGACATAGTATTCACTACAGGATATAGGCGGA